ATCCTAAAAGTATAGTTTAAAATAACAATCATTAGATTTAATATTATTAATAAACTTTTTAATTTATTTTATAAAATATGATGTATCAGAAGTGATGATACGGCCTATATATAAATTAGTTTATTTATATACGAATATGTTCAAAATTTAACTATTACTTTACTTGTATCATCTGAAGAGCTGCCAACATAGAGGATTTTTTTTTCAGAGCTTTCAGTTACAATAGACTTCGAAGAGCTACTGATGTAGAGAACTTCTTTTTCAGAGCTTTCAGTTATAATAGGCTTTGAAGAGCTACTAACATAGAGAACTTCTTCTTCAGAGCTTTCAGTTATAACAGCCACTAATAATAACAATATTTAAGAAAATCAGAGAAGGAAATAAAAGACTAGCAACAACAAAAAGATAATTTTTAATAAGAAGATAACAAGAACTAGACACTATTAATAGAAAAGTGTAAAAGGCTCAAAGTTTGAAAAGAGTATAGCAATTACAATTTAAGAAAAAACCTTCGTAAGTATAAAGAGTCTAGCAATAATATCTAAATTTGTGTAAAGAATCTTGCACAAATAACAATATAAGAAATTAACACTATACCTATACTTATATTAAAAGAGAACTAAAAAAGAAGTAATTTTTATACTTAGAATATGGAAATCACAATCTAGTAAAAAAACCCAAATTTTACATGAGTAACAAAAGACTAGCAATAGTCAAAAGTTTTTACAAAAATCAGACACTTGAAAAATAAAAATAAAAGATCTAATACCAATGATAATACTACCACAAACTGCAAAAAAGAAGTGCCAATAGATAATTCGTTCAAAGGTATGTACATTCTTTTTTGCACCTGCCTTCTTCACTATATACACTTTCGTCAACTATTCAGAGATTATACGTATAATAAAATAAATAGAAGTACTCTAAAAAATTGCAGTATTAGCAGATAATTTATACAAAGACACATATATTCTTTTATATGCTTCCTTTCTTTTTCTTCTCTTCCGTTGCACTAATTAGGTATTCTATACAAACAAATAAAAGAATGTTCTAAAAAAAAAGGTTTGTAATAAGGGCCTAATGCCTATAACAATAGTAAAAAAGTGATATCGAAGAATAATTTACTAAAGGGTACTGTTTTGTGCTCACTTTTCTTTACTTTATAGAATACTATTGTTAAAGTATCAGATAATTTTACATTTAAAGCAGAAAAGGTTCAATTATTATGATCAAACCCCTATTTATTTATTTACTATGCGTTATGTTGACTACCTGCATATGTCAAATCAGTCAAACAATCAATTTGTGTAACTGATCATATTTATTTAATAAAATCAGTTAAACAAATTTGTGTAACTGATTATATTTATTTATTATTTTGGGGTATAGTGATTTATTGCATATGCGAAAAATTATAAATTCCATATATAACAATATATAAATCTAGTTCAAACTTTGGATTCTGTAATTGGATTTTGATGATTTTGGGCTTGTTGGAATACTCTCTTTGAGAAGATTATTTTGGTAGTTAAATTATCCAAATCGGCCCAATAGATCAAAAGTTATTAAATTTTTTTTTTTCCCGGTATTAAGGTAACCTCTTTGGCCGGGGAACATTTTATTAGATAGTTATGTTTTTCAATTACAGTAAGGGTACATATAGCCACACGTGC